TCTTTTCTCCCACAACATGAGAGACGCTGGCTTACCACCTACAGTACAGTCTGTATTTATGTCCCCGAAACAATGCATCCATGTCTTCTGTGCAGAGGAATGGGCTAAAACACAAATAACAGTTCTCCAGAGCAGAGTTGCTGAGGAGGGGCCTGTCAGGAGAGAAGGATTCAGGGAGGAAGCCAAGCCTGCTAGCCACAAGAGGAAGGTCGAGCATAATGAACCTTTTGACCAGGTTGAAGTGTGGCCTCTGCACAGTTCTCTCCCTGTCACTCAGGCTGAGCAAGTGAGGGAAGAATGGCAGGGATGGGAAGCAGAGGGGGGAGAGGATGGAGTTGGTGAATGGAGCTGGTCAGTTCAAACCTCACTCATCAGAGAGGTCTCCAATCAAAATGCATAATGGGATGGTTGGGGGGTGGGAGATGACAGGAAGCCCCCATTCAGACTTGTCCTCTCTCTGCACACACACCCAGGCTGAATGCACAATCAAATTGAACTCACACACCTACACAGATGGCATATCCGGGCAGGGATCAGAGGCCCGGAGAGTGACAGGTACTAAGAACAGGGGTCTCATCCTCGGGCAAGTAGCTGTGGCTGGAGACCAAGAGAAGCTGAGATATCAGGGGACTGCCCGGTTCAGTGAGAGACATCCAAAGCCAAGGTTTCAGACTAGCAAAGTTCACACAGGAGAGAGCTATGTAGGGACAAGACCAGGCTGTCGTACACTGGAGGCAAGCTGATGGCCAGGGACAGAACTTGGGAAGCTGTACACGGGACCAGGCATCCTGAGACAGGAAGAGTGATGTCATAAACTGGTAAAAAGAGAAGCCTGGGTATTGGGGAGAAACCTTGATCCATCTATTTGAGTTGTACATGCAAGTTTTATATGAGTTTTATATGCAAGTATCTCGCACAATTCTCAAGAACCCACAGGCAAAGAAAAATCTACTTTTGCTATAACAAAACTACCCCATCAAGAAAGGTGCAGAGGTGTGGAGCAGACAATTCCCCAAAGAGGACATAAATAATGGTTGACAGGCATATGGCAAAGTGTGTCTTCATAAAAGTGTGGGTGTGCTCTCTGTGCATTCAGTGGCCAGGAGCTGCTTCCCCACCCCAGCCCACTGCCACCAAAGGACACAAGGTGGGAACAGGGCCTCCAGGCTGGTTGGTGATCAGTCGCCATTTATTGCAATCTAATCTCCCTCTTCCTCCTTCCAGTCTCATTCACATGCCCCATTCCAGATTCCCCCTTCCCTTCATCCCCATCTCCTAATGCCTCTCATGCTAGTCTCCACCTTGCCCAGTCTCAGAGCCTTAGTTATATAGAACAATCACCCAGGGTTAGGCAAGTGAGGGAATTACACATAGGTCACAATTACACATAGGTGAGATAGCACAATCAACTTAAGTAAAGTCCTTCCTTCCAGGAAAGCTCTTCTAGGTTAATGTCTTGCCCTGCTAGGAGATCAGCCCAGCCCAAGGGAGGAATTTCATCTAAGAGCATATTTCTCTTTTCCTTAGTTCATATCCATTTAAACGGTCATCTTAAATTTACTTCTTAATAATATTTCTAGTCATTTTGTATGGACACAGTAAAAGATATATATTAAGCTTACAGGTGACTCTCTTGGGGACATCTCACTATAGATCCCAGACTATAGTCCTCAGGCCAGATTAGTTCTTTCTAACCCTAGCAGGGTCCTTATCCTGTTGTTTCTCTTTGGGTCATGACAGAATTTGTTCACTTCCATGTTCTTAACTTACTATAAGTCTTATGGTGCTGGGCCTGCCCCTTTTTGATGCCGAGGTAGCTACAGCTTGCCCTGGGTCCATCCAAGTCCCTTCACTGGGATCCTCCTTTCGGGCTGCTAAGAACTAAGGGCAGCTGAGGCTTAAGTCGAGTAAATATGGCAGATGCCCATGAGTAAATATTATTCAAAGTCATTTAACTCCCAAGTTACAAAATCATAACATTAACTGTCTTCCTGTGTCTATACAAAAAAGACACTGCTCTAAAGTAAACTATGTGAAGGACATAAGGGAAAGAGAAAAGCAATATTTCACTTGCATATATAAAATTCATGAGTCCTAGAAGAATCTGACTTTACAAGCCACAGGGCCTGATTTGCAGATATAAGTGACTAACAGACAGGGGAAGCAGAGTACAAAGGAAAAGTTAAAGATAAGCACAGAGGAATGGGAGTGCCTCAGGAGCATTGTGATGGGTATAACCCAATAAACCTAAACTCCTCGCAGCAGAGGAGAAAGGATGGAGGAGAAAGGATGAACTAACATTAAACCTAAAATCCTTAGAACTATAATCCAACAGCAAAGGGTTTATAATCACTTATTATCAGGGACATGAAAAAGAAAATAACAACTGATATGAGTGATAATGACCTCCATCATAAAGGTCAGAAATATGGGGTCAGAGAGATAGCACGGTGGGCAGGGCTCATGCCTGGCCCGGTTTCTAGCCCAGTAACCTATATGGCCCCCTGAACTGATCAGGAGTAGTGATCCTTGAGAGCAGAGCCAAGATAAATCCTGAATACCAACAGGTGCGGCCCCCAAACAAAACAAGATCACATAAAAAAAGTGCTGGTGGGAATGTGGTGGAAAAAGAACTTTCAATCACTGTTGGTGGGGATATCTGGTTTGGCCTGAATGGAAAATAGCATGGAGACTTCTCAAACAATTAAAAGTACAACTACCATATAATACAGCAGTTCTACACCTTATCACATATCCCAAGAATGCACAGATATGAATGTGGAAAGCTATATGTGCACCAGTGAAATTGATGTTTGCCATACTATTGACAATAGCCAAGATCTGGTAACCACCCAATGCCCAAACACAGACAAGCAACTAAAGTATCTGTGATATAGACACGCATAGAAGTAGTGCTCAGCTTGAAGAAAAGACATCTTATCACTTGCTACAACCAGCACAGAACTAGCAGGTGTCATGTGAAGTGAAATAAGTCAAGAAGTTTCCAAGCGGTGGGAGAAGGTGTTGGGCCGGGGGAAGGAAGAGGTGGAAAACAAGGATATAGGGACAGTGGTGGAGGGTACTGGACATGGTGGTGGTGGTACACGTGTAACTTTGTACATCAGAAGCACAGATACTAACACTACTGTCATGTGATACCTTGAAAACAGCAAAAGACAAAGAAAAAGTGATTAGGGTGTTGGAGAGATGGTACAGTGGGTAAGGCACTTGCCTTGCATGCAGCTGACCTGGGTACACTTGTTCCCTGAGCCCCACTGAGAATTATTCTTGAGCACAGAGCCAGGAGTAAGCCCTGAGCACTGCTAGGTATGGCAAAAAAAAAAGAAGAAAAGAAAAGGTGATTCAAGGTTCTGCCTAAAAGAAAGTAAAGAGGACATGAGTGAGGGTCTTCTCCTTTTGTTTAGGACACAGGGCCTGGCTCTCCCCGAAAGCCTGGATCCTAGGCAAGTATCTGGATGGACCAGGGGAGTCACCCCAAGCAACTGCTGGTTTAAGGTCTGATACCCAAGGGAGATGGGGTCAGTGGGCTTTGTCAGTGCTCACCACAGAATGCTTTTATAAATATGGCCAGAGTTTCCTAGATGTTTCAGGGGCTGAACTGGGGCTCACACATGCATGGCATAAGGCTCTGGCCCCTGAGCTATCTCCTGCTCCTATTTAAATTTCACTCCCTAGAACTTCAATCATCTCTAAGAAAACACCGCGGGGCTCCTGGAGCCATCCTGGCCCTGACAGCAATGTTCTTGTTCATAAGTCAGGGAACATGGGATCGATCTTAATTCACTTTACCATGAACTGGGTATTTTACAGCCCCCCCCCCCCCCAAAGCCGGCGGATGTGGCAGAGATCAACTGAAAGGCAGCCTGGAAGTCAGGTCAACATTCCCGGGGGTTCCTGATTTCTTTCAGCCAGGCCCAGAAGGCCTCACACCAAGGCACACATATATGAATTCTGAGGTTACAAACAAGTGCACAGTGGCCTAAGCTGGGGTCTGACAGCACGGGGGTTCCAGGAGCGAAGGGTGTGGGTGAGGTGGGGTGAAGGGAAGGGCTGTGCAATCTTCAGTCCTTGGTGATGTCAGCCGGCAGCCACTCACAGTGGTGAAGAAAGGCTGGGGACTCCAGAAGCACTCAGGGTCCAGGGGAGGCAGGAAATGACTGAGACAGAGAAACAGCTTACCACAGGCCAAACCAGGGAATCTTCCGGCCTGCTCCACTTTTGTTCCTATGTTTAGTTTGGGGGCCACGATCAGCAGTTCTTGGGGGCCAGTCCCTGTTCATTCCTTGGGGGTCATTCCTGGCAGTGCGATACAGGGACTCGAACCCAGGCCTCCCACAGGCAAAGTCTGTGCCATATTCTTTGCATCCTCTCCCAGTCCTGTCAACCGTACTAAACAGCCATCAGCCAGGTGGCCCTGCCCTGTCCATTATATCATGGCTACACTCCGCCATTCTGGAACTACACAAAGCCCAAGGCCAGGCTTGCTGCCAAGGACGGTGTCCCCCTCCACACAACGACCCCATAGTGAGGCACCTTCTCACCCACCTTTGAGCTCATCAGAGCTCTTCCCAGAAGCCACACCCTGTCACTGACAGGTGCCCCAGAGGCCACTGTGGTCTCCAGTCTAGAGGCCTGGGTGAGACTCGGCTGTTCCCACTGCAGGAAGGCTGCACTGAACGTCACTGCAGACTTCAAAAGTCCTGTTCCCTATTGTTAGCCAGGGTCCCAGAGGGCCAAGAGGCATCATGGAGATAGAAAGAGGTGCTCGCGGAGAGGAGAGAGGGCCGGGGGCCTCTGTGAAGGACCAAAGGACAAGCTGTGCGTTTGGGGGAGGTCCAGCCCTGTTGCTTGCTCGCCTGGCAGGAGGCATTCACCAGCCGGCCTTTAAGTGCCCTGTGAGTCAACAGTTCCCCCGGAATCCACAAGGGCAGTGCACAGCCACACACCTTTACCCCAGAGACACCCAGAGGACCCCCTACCTGGTCCAGCTTCCAGTGGAACTCTGCGGGGCGGAAGGTGTCAGCCTGGTCGAAGTCCTTGCGCAGCAAGAAGACCAGGCGGCAGTTGTGCACGTACAGGGCGTAGTGATGCCGGTTCATCTCTATGGGCAGAGAAGGCAGTGTGAGACAAGCCCGGGGGGCTCTCTGGAGGTGGCATCCCATCAGAGGCAATTCTGAATGCCCCTCCCCCACTTCCCAGCCCTTCAGCTGCTCTGAGCACCAAGGAGGCACAAATCTATCTTCTCACTGACAACTGGTTTGGCTAGATGTTCGAGAACACACATGAAGTTTTTACGGAATGGCACAGGACGAGTCCCCAGCAAAGCTCTGGGCCTGTAAGTTTGTGCTCCAGTGACTTAACTTACACCCAGACACCCGAGCAGGGCCCTGGGTGAAAAGCATGTAAGCTCCTAAACCTCAACAAAAATAGAGGAATGAAAAACGGTGACAGATAACTCCAGTTGAGGAGTTAAGGAGCTAGTTGTGGTGTATGCACCTGCCCAGGGTCTGATCCCTGTTCCCCCTGAGCCCTCTGAGGCCCGAGAACAGAGCCAGAAGTCAACCCTGAGCACTGCCAACCACCTGCAGGTGCCCTTTATTATTCTGATTTTTCTAAGCTGATCAGATGTCAGTTGTATTGTCAGCTTTGTACTTGTACTGAAAGTTTCTTAATTGAAGGGTTGAAGGGATGTGTGTGTGTGTGTATGTGTGTGTGTGTGTGTGTGAGAGAGAGAGAGAGAGAGACAGAGAGACAGAGAGAGAGAGAGAGGTGTTACAGGCTCTACCCAGAGAGATGCTCAAGGAGGCCCCATTCTCATCACCCGGGCTTGGGACCAGTGGAGGTGAGGGATGAGGCGGCACTTTGGGTCACCCTCAGTATTGGGCATGGCAGGTACTCAGGCCCACCATGGGGTTTTACTTAATATTCCTTCTCCTCTCTCATTATTGCTAGACTGAATCCTTCTGGCTCCTGCTGGTAACTGGAGGAAAATATAGAACAGTGTTTCCCTTTAAAGGAAGTTCAAAGTCAGGAGATGCTGTGGGTGTGGAGGCTGTTCAAGGACAAGAAGGAGAGGAGAGTTCACTGGGGTCCATTCCTAGTGGTGGCATCCAACCCCCTTTTACGGGCTCTCTCATTCCCTCTGTTCCTGCCTTCCTCCAAATACTCTCCTCCTGTTCCTCAGTAACACTCTCCTCTCCTTCCTCAGTAACACTCCTACTCCAGTAATACCTTCCCTTCCCTCAGTAGCCCCTCCTGTCCTCCCTCAGTGACATCCTCCCCTCCCTCAGTAACAACCTCCCTTCCCTCAGTAATACCCTCTTCCTCTTTTCCCACAGTAACACTCTTCCCACCCCTCAGTAACACCCTCGCCTCTCAGTAAAACCCTTACCTTCCTCAGTAACACCCTCGTATCCCTCAGTAACATCCTCCTTACTTCCCTCAGTAACATTCTCCTCTCCCTCAGTAACAACCTCCATTCCCTCAGTAATACCCTCTCCCCTCATTAATAACCCTTCCTCCCTCAGTTACAGCTTCTCCCTTAGTAATACCCTCTCTTCCCTCAGCGATACCCTTCCCTCCCTTAGGAACACCCTCCCTTCCTTCAATAACACCCTCCCCTCCCTCAGTAACACCCTCCTCTCTCTCAGTAACACCCTAAGCCCTCAGCAACACTCTTCTACAGGAATCCCTTCTTCCCAGAATGCAGCCCTCTTGGCTCTAGTCTTGCCCTTTTCGGGGAAGCCCATTCTGTCCATATGATTTTAAGACTAAGAAGAAAATAATTTGGTTTTCCAGGTTGAAGTAGGGCCCCTGCTCCCCTCTCTCCTCACCCCGCCATTGACAGTCCCTGTTGACCCCTGGGAAGAGTCAGGCCAGGGTTTCCTAGCTCCTAAATTGTTGGAGAGGAGGAGGTTTTGTAGAACTCTACAACAGCCTGGAGCCAATCTGAGTCTGCCTCAGAACCCAGCTACCAGGAGCAAGAGTCACACTTTTCCTCTCTGGCTGCTCCCTGGTGCATTCTCCACTGGGGCGGCTCTGGGGACTGCCACTCCTGGAAAGCCCACAGGGACCTGCCTGCACTGTCTGCGGCCACTCCTCATCCATTACTCTCATATGAAACTGGAGCTAGCAAAGGGCCGCATGACAGAGAGAGGATCAGAAGTGAGTGTGGTGGGGAGACTGAGTCAGCGGGAGAGCAGCCTGGAAAGAGCCCTACTCACATCAGGAATGGGAAGGTTGGTGCCAACCTAGGTGGCATGGAAGGGGAAGCCGTTTTCTTTGCTTGACACACATTGACTCATTCTGCTGCTTCCTGGGGGTTAGGTGGGCCTTGGCCTTGGTCCCTAGGGCCAGGGAACCCTCTGTGCTCAACTCTCTGTTCTCCCCATCTCTTTTGCTGATGGAGCCCCAAAGCATGGAAGGATGGTCCCAGATGTCTGGAAGCAGAGCTTCCACATTCCATGGGACCTCCTGGGGCAGCTGGACATGGAAGGACACCAGAGCCCACCTCTAGAAGGAGTACTGATCACTAAGATCTGTGCTGATGGTAGTGGTGATATTATCACAGTGGCTTCTTCCTTGGAATTGCAATGAACCCTAGCTGATGAATCCACTGTTATCCAACTCTTTATAAATTACTCCATAATTCATAAGTGGTTTAGCATGAGTAAGTTTCACCCAGTGGATAAGATAAATGACTGCAACTTGACAAAGGGTGATTTGTCAATTTGCATCAATGACCTTTCTAATATTTATATTCCTTGAATCCACAATTTCACTTTAGGTCAGGAAGTAATCAGAAGTGGCCATTTATGTATAGACAAGATGTTTATCAACACATTATATTATTTGCCTTTAAAGGTAGCATCTAAACAGCCAACAAAAGGGAGCCAGTTCAAATGGTGTTTAACAAAGTCACACAGCAGAATTTTAGATGGCTGTTGCTCTGTGCCCAGCAGTCACTCCTGACAGTGCTCAGACCACATGCAGCGCTGGGGACTGAACCAAAGTTGGCTGTGTGCAAGCCATCCTATTTATCTGGCCACATTGCATATTGTTAAAGAACATCTTGTCATATAGAGAAATAATCTGGATAGAAAACAAAGGAAACAGATGCCCGCGGGTAGTATCATGTGTAAGACAAAAAGCAGATAAAAAATTATAAGCACATTCTATATAAACATAGAAATAAGTTAGGGTTCATGTAGTTTTGAAACAGCAAATATTGAAAAACATCTCCCACCATCAGGAATGTTTCTATGTCTTTTATCTTTTCTGCTATAAATGTGTTTTATAATGGGAAAAAAACTTACGCCCAAGTCAAGCTTTCATTTATTTTTATATATTTCTGATTTTTAAAAAAAATAGAGACAAGAGTAAAATTTATTTTTAAGCTACACGAAAAGAATTCCCCTCTCTTTGTGCCGAAGTTGAACTCATTTTGATCGGCTGATAGGTTGGGGTGCCTCATCTATAAAACGCACACCCTCTGTTCTGGGCAAGCCCCAGTTCTGCAGCTTTGTTTGAAGATGCAGCTCCTACCACAAACCCCACCTCCACCCCCACTAGTGGAACCCCATTTGAAAGCCATGAAGCTCAATCTTGCATTCCCTAGGGCCAAGTCACTCTTTCCTTTCCCTCTCCTGGAGAGATCCCAGGCAGCCAGAGAACCCGAGAGCTGAGTGCACAGGCAACCCTCCTCAGCCCCACTGGTGCCCCCGCCCTTCATCTCAGGGGCTGGAGGGTCCTCTGGCGCTACTCACCCGTCTTATCCGAGTTGCAGAGGATGGTCTCCTTCTCCGCTCTCACGCCCGGGCTGGGGCCGTGCTTCATCCACATGGTGATGGTGAACTGGTCCGTCAGGTTCTTGGGCACGATCCCGTCCGGGATCTTGGCACCCTGGCGGCCATCGAACCGGAAGATCATCTCGCTGCTGTCCACCAGCAGCCCCGCCGTCCAGTTAGTGGCAGCGCTGGGGGATGGCAAGAGGTCGATGATGCCGGAGGAGGCACCTGCAGGGGATGTGGGGTGCGGGTGTGGGGGGACAGAGAGAACAAAGGGTCAGGCCTCATGGGGGTGGGGTGGGAGAAGGGTCCACATTTCTTGGCATCCTGGGAAATTGCCTGGGTGGAAAAATCCATTTCCCACCCTGAGAAGGTGACTCCTGGGCCCACCAGGAGAATTCATAAGGCTCCTGACCCAGGAAAGCACATGGCCGGGTCAGCAGACAGTCATGACTTAGCTATGCCTGGGGAAAGTTCTAGATCCTGATCCCATGAAAAGTGAGTCATTCTGTACTCATGAAACTTTCGGGAACCAAGGGCCCACACATGCAGGGCATGTGCTCTATGACTGAGTCATGTGCCAGCCCCATTGTGTTGGTTTATTTTTGGTTTATACCTGTTGGGATTCCTGGTTCTATGCTCAAGGCTCACGCTTGGCAGTACCCAGGGCCCTTAGTGGTGCCAGGGATCACACCTGCTGATATGAGACCTCTCTCTCCCTTCCTCTCTCTCCCTCCCCCTCCCTCACTCCCTCCCCACCCCCCCCCCCCCGCCCCCGCCTTCTCCCCCAGATTCTGGGTGACATCTGGTGGTGCTCTGGGCTTACTTCTGTCTCTATGCTCAGAGGTCACTCCGGCTGTGCTCAGGGGACATAGGTGGTTCCGGAAACCGAACTCGAATTGACACCATGCAAGGCAAGCTCCCTGTCCCCTATAGTATCTCTCCGGCCCTGTTACATGAAATTTGCAAGGAGTGTTGTCTGGTACCAAGGCTGCCACAGAGCAGGTACCCCCTTAATGTTTCTCCCTTACTGCCGTCCTTCTCAACCAGCGCCTCATCAGATGGCTGTCCCTTCTCCACGTGACCCCAAGCACGTCCCACACCCCATGTCAAGATTTATATCTCCTTCCCCAGAGTTTGGCTTGGAATCCATTTTACTTATGATAGCACAGCAGTAGGGCGTTTGCCTTGCACGCAGCCAACATGGTCGACCTGAGTTCAATTCCTCTGCCCCTCTTGGAGAGCCCGGCAAGCTACCGAGAGTATCTCGCCCTCACATCAAATCCCGGCAAGCTACCCGTGACGTATTCAATATGCCAAACACAGTAACAACAAATCATGATGGAGACATTACTGGGCCCACTTGAGCAAATCAATGAACAATGGGAGGACCATTGAACTAATTCACACTAATATTATTTTTTTCTTTTTGGGTCACACCCGGCGATGCACAGGGGTTATTCCTGGTTTTGCACTCAGGAATTACTCCTGGCAGTGCTCAGGGGACCATATGGGATGCTGGGAATCGAACCTGTGTGCAAGGCTAATGTCCTACCCGCTGTACTATTGCTCCAGCCCTCACACTCATTTTTAATGACTAAGAAAGACTTCAGGAATATCAACCTCCAAAGAAAGGGGAAAAAAACCCCAAGGAGCATCTTAAGTACCCAGATGTGCAGACAGCACTGCAGCCTCTTTGCACATAGCACCGTCTGAGAGGGAGGGAGGGAGAGAGAGAGAGAGAGAGAGAGAGAGAGAGAGAGAGAGAGAGAGAGAGAGAGAGAACGCTCTAGGAGAGAGCAAAGATTTCAATTTGTTTAAGTGCACCAAGAAATGAAATGCAAGCTGTTACATTTGCGGCTGTCCACAGCATCTGGCTCCATGCAGCCTGATGTGTGCCGGCATCTGTGGGTTAGGCGGGGTGCCTGCTGTGCCCCTCCCAGAAGAGACAACAGGGGTGTCACCTGTCTTGAGGGCCTGGCTGGGACAAATGCTTCTCTCTGTAGACTGTGGATGGGACCTTGTGGTGGGAAGTGGTGTCCTGTGCATGGAAAGACTTTCTACTGGTCGCTGGGAGGTACAGCTGATGGGCCCACGTCCTGGGGATTCTACAGACTCAGTCACTGCATCTCTGGAATTTCTGGAGCCTTGGACAAGAGGATTCCTCCGGAACCTTGGAATCAGAATTTCAGCTCTCCAAGCAAAGCAAGGGGGACCTTATGTAAAGAGCAATTGGCCAGGTCCTGGGGCAGGGCAAGAGTGCCCAGGTGCTGGCCAGCTGGAGCATGGCCACTGCAGGCAAGAACCTGCCATAGAGGAGAGGTGTTATTTATTGGATTTTTGTTCTGTTTTGTTTTGGGGCCACACCCAACAGTCCTTAGGGCTTACTCCTGGCTCTGTTCTCAAAGATCACTCCTGGCTAGGCTTGGGGTTGGGGGGAACAGGGTGCTGGGGACTGAATCTAGCTTGGCCACATGCAAGATAAAGTGTTCTACCTGCTGTAGGCTCCCTGGATCCCAGGTGTGTTATATTTAAATGACCTCAGAGACACGCACACTTCCAGCCAGGAGACTGCAGCCCTTCATGATTTTAGGCTAGTGATTTAGTCTGACGATCAATGAGTGTTTATGCGCATTGAGAGGCCCTCTTAAGCTCTCTGAGAATGAAGACGAGGAGCTTTGACACCAGAAATTCCTTAGAAGCATCTTGGAAAAATAGATTTGAGCCTCCCACGGTTGGGCTATTATTCAGAGGGTGAAAATGTCTAACCCTGATTCAGAGTGGGTCCAGCTCTATTCAGCTTCAGAAGCACAGTACAAAACATGTTCTCAATTTTTTCAACATGATGAGGGCATGGGTTGAATTGTTAAGTGATCTGATTTAACTTCTATAGAAGCTCAAGAACTACAGCATTTGAACATGCAAATATTTGTTGAATTCATAAACGCAGACCCGCACGCATGGATGGATGAATGAATTAATGAATGAATCTCCTATGAATATCTCCTGTGTTCACAAGTGTATCAACCCCGAGGAGAACTAACAGTTGATCATCACTGGCTTTTACATATCCAGGCCTGGCTGTGTGGTCTCTGCATAAGGGAACCTGTCCTCAGAGTTCTGGAGTCACAGATGACACCGCACAGCTGGGTATCAGTGCTGGCTAGCCTGTGCTCTGAGGATGGACCAGCCCTGGCCTCTGGGCTCCAGATGGCGTGTGCATCACTGCTGCTGTTCTGCTTGCTGTAATGTGGAGTGACACCCATGCATGAGCTCAGGCCTTTCCTTGGGTGGTGGGGAATGTCAGATGTCCTGAGGTCCTGGGGAGGGTCACATATGCCCCTCGCATGCCTGACAGCCTGGTGACCTGTGGGCTCTGCATAGCCATGCCCTGAGAGGCTGGAGTTCTGCCTTCCAATCCCACAGATTCGGAGGGAGTGAGAGCACGGGGCCCACTTGGCCCAGAAACCCAGGGCAGGGGTGGGACCCTCAGAGACCACAGAGGGCTCTGTGTCTAAAGGGGTCAGGAACTCAGAGACCCACTCATGCCACTTCCTTCCGAGGCAGGACAGACGCACCTCTGTGTGCTAACCCGAGCAGCAGTCAGCCTGATGTTTGGGGCTGCTTTGAACCAAAGAGGCTGTTTCCAGCGTTTCTGCCACTGACAGGCACCCCCGACAGGCACCTCCTGACAGGCACCTCCTGACAGCAGGCTTCCCGCCGCTCTTGTCTGGCTTCCCCTCAAGCAGGATCCTATCACTGCTACTAATGGCTCCACATCGCCCGAGGAGGATGCTGGCGGCCAGACACCCACCTGTCTGGGTCTCTGAACAGTGCCAACACTCAGAAGCATTCCTGCTGAGCCCAGAGGCAGGAGAGTGGACTCCAGAAAGGTTTGGAGGAGGAAGGAGAACATTCGAACAAAGGAAGGAGGGAACCAGGAGGAAGGGTGGAGAACAGAGCAGGTTTGGAGACCAAAAGGAGATGCTTTTGTTCTGAAGAGGAAGAGCAATAGGAAGGAATGGGTTACCAGGTCCTCAAGAGGTGGGGACCCAGGCTAAATGGGGGGACCCACATCTGGATGTCTCACAAGAGGCTGTCATCATTGTTCCCCAAACCTGCCAGACCCATTAGAGACTTTAATCCTTCTCTCTCACTTCTGACAGCTAACCACCGATTCGTGCTGATTTTCCTTCCTGAATCTAACCCTAACCTCTCCTCCCCCCCACCCCAGCTCTCTCCTACCCCTCCTGGTTCAGAAATCACTATGGCTTGCTTTAGACTAGGGCAACAACATCCTAATTGGTCTCCCTGTGTTTATCCGCAGTCGATAAAGATTCCTATGACGAGAAACTCATGACACTGAGGCTTAAAGCCAGCAGGGTGGTTACGTGGCCAGGAATCCCAGCAAACATCTGGCTTGCCAGCCCCTGAAAACACACAGAACCTAGGGCAAGAAGTCAAAAAACAACCCAGAAGCCATCCAGGCTTAGAAGCCATCCAGGTTACATTTCCCTGGAAGGTCGGAGAGAGCCTGGGGACCCGCTGAACAGCCTGAATGGAAGGCAAGCTCCAGGCTAAATTTGCTCTGTTTTCCTCAATGGCTCTGCTCTATCCTTTTTTGCTCTTTTCCCCAGCAGAAATCAAGATTCAGACTCCTAATAGAAACCAGTAGAAACCAGTCTGTCCCTTAGAAAAGTCCTTCTGAAAGGTTCCCAGCCAAGTGTCTGCCAGTGTCAGGAAAGCTCACACGCCAGAGAGCACCGGCACCTGCCTTGTTGTGGGATGAAGAATGAACGGTTTCTCTAAATGTTCTTCCCTCAGAGAATCCCTTTCACCCCACCTGTCTCCTTTCCTCCCAGAGGCATTCACACTTACATCACAAGTGAGAATCTCTGGGTCCATCACATCTCTAACTAGCTCTCTCCATCATCTCTCTTTGACTGATGGGGTTTAGGAGATGACTGTAGCTATCTCGTGGTGGCCAGGGACTGAGTTGACTCACCACTCAGGTGTGGGGAGTGAAGCAGCTTCGCTGCCGAGAGTGAGAGAAAGGACTGAGCTTTTCTGAATAGCCCGAGCCCCTTCTGTCCATTTTGGCAAGAGCTGTTTGGAATACTGAAGTGACTGTTCTCTATCGGGTTCCCTCCCCACAGGCCTCCTTCCTCACAGGCCTCCTTCCTCAAAGGCCTCCTTCCTCTATAGGCTTCCCTCTCTACCAGCCTCCCTCTCCAAAAGTTTCCCTCCTCACAGGTCTCCTTCCTCACAGACTTTCATCCCCACAAGTCTTCTTCACACATCTCCATCTCCACAGGCCTTCCTCCCACAGGTCTCTCTCCTCTGGTCTGGTGTCAAAACAAATGACATATGGCCACCTCATAGTATGTTCAGCTTTAAAACATTTCCTTGGTTCTTTGGGCAAAACTGTGTGTTCATAAGTGAGGTGATGCTGAGGGAAGAAGATGAAGTTAGGTGTGTGGCTAGGGGGTTATTACCAGGAGAAGGGAGCAGGTGAGACTGTACTCTGGAACCTTCCTGTGGAGAAAGTGTTATCCGTAAACACAGGCTTGGCACAAGTGATTTTCTGTGACTCTTGTGGTGGGGAACAATAAAGAGATGAATGATACTGGGGCAGGATCTCTCCCCAGGTGACAGACACCACCACCAGAAGAGTCAGGAAGTCACACTGCCTTCTGGAAAAATCAACATGGTGGAAGGGATGGCTGGTCTCTTCAGGCTCTGTGTTAGTTAATAAATATACTATGTCATTTAAAACATATCCCGGTGTACCGTTGAGGAACAGAGTTTTGGTCACACAACAGTCACACTGTTGGTAAAAGGCCAAGTCAGATCAAGTGTGCCCACTGGGGAAAGCATTGCCTTCTTCCCCCTTTACCAAAATAAGTCAACTTCCAACTTATCCATAAGTCACTTCCTTCACTCCTCCACTGCAGTGTGTGTGTGTGCGTGTGGTGGTGGTGGTGGTGGTGGTGGTGGGGTGTGTGTGTGTGTGTGTGTGTGTGTGTCCGTGGGTTGGGGGAGGTGTGCTGATGCTGTGGTAATATAACCAGATAGGTTTTATTTATAATGTAAACAACAACAAAATTATGCATTTCTCTCTGCTGGAAATGTCTTCTCTGCCCTGCCAGGGTCTGATGAAAAGCAAAACACGGGCTTCAAAAGCCCTCTGGCACAAAAGCAAAGAAAACATCTGAAAGTCTCTGTCAGCCCAACCAGGTGCTGAGGAAACAAAAAGGATAAAACAATGGTGCCCTCAAATATACTGAAGGACCTCTTAGGGTAGAAGACTCCAAGAACCCTCGCTCCATCTAGTTTCCCAAACAGAGAGAATTCTAATTAAAGGAACTTTGAAAACTGTATGAACAGCTTTAAAGTTACAGATAATGTTTTTTTCTCTTACATTTTTGAAAAATGTGACAAAAATCCTCCTTTATTTAACTAAAATATTTTATTTTATTTTATTTATTTAAAAATTTTTTTAAATTATATTTATTTATTTTTTAATAGTGAGGCACCATGAGGTACAGTTGTAGACTTACACATTTTTGTGCTTGGGTTTCGATTATACAATGATCAAACACCCATCCCTCCACCAATGCGCATTTCCCACCACCATGGATCCCAGCATCCCCTCCCCCCCCAGCCCCCATCCCACCCTGCCTCTGTGGCAGGGCATTTCCCTCTCTCTCCTTTTGAGTGCCATGGTCTGCAAAAGAGGCATTGAGTGGCAATCATGCTGGTCGACAGTCTACCCTCAGCATGCTCTCCCATTGTGGGCGGATCCTCCCAACACCCTTTATTTGGTGTTCCCTTCTCTTTCTGAGCTCCCCCTTCCCCTAACATGTGTGGTTGTCCTCCGGGTCATTGAGTAAAATTCCTGGTACTAATCTCTGCCATACTTGGGTGTTAGTTTTCTATTTTGTTACTTTATGTTCCCCAGATGAATGCAATCTTTCTATGTCTATCCCTTTCTTTCTGAGTCATTTTGCTTAACATGATACTTTCCATGTAGTACCACTTGTATGTAAACTTCATGACTTCGTCTTTTCTAACAGCTACATAGTACTCCATTGTGTAAATGTGCCAGAGTTTCTTCAACCAGTCATCTGTTCTCGGGCACTCAGGTTTTTTCCAGATTCTGGCTATTGTAAAGAGTGCTGCAATAAACAGACAATTGCAGATGTCACTTCGACTATACCTTTTTGCCTCTCTGGGATATATTCCCAGGAGTGGTATTGGTGGGTCAAATGGGAGCTCAATTTCTGAACTAAAATATTTAAAAAATAACTAAATGTCTTGGTTTTTGTTTTGTTCGGGGGCTAAAACCAACCATGCTCTGGGATTACTCCTGATTCTGCTACACTCAGGATCACACTTGGCAGTGCTGGTAGACCATGTGAGGTGCTAGGGATTGAACCCAGATCCACCACACACAAGGCAAGTATCCACTTCATTGTGTTGTCTCTCTGAACCCCTAATATTTTGTTCTCTTAAAAGCCACATATATTTTCTTTCTGGGTGTGCCACTTAGTTACATGAACTAAAACCCAGGCCATAATCATGGCTCTGTCACCCCCAAAGGAGTCTATTCCCCAGTCCTCAGTCCTCAAGTTTGGATTCTCAGTAACCTCTTTGATAACTTTTTCTCTTAAGTGTCAAATTCATTTTGCAATGGTGACTACTTCAGTCAATAGTATGTACACTGAAAAGGAATTACTTGGAACTGGTGATGGAGCTCAGTGGTCAAACTCATGCATTCCATGTGTGAGACCTGGATTTGAGCATAAGCACCACACACACACACACACACACACACACACACACACTGATAAAAGTAACAATATCAACAATAATAACAATAGTACACAAACTAAAGAATAGAAATTACCTTTTTAAAAAAAACCTTTCACAGTGATTCAATAAAATGAATAAATAAAAAATTTTTTAAAGGCCCCAATAGGGAAAAAACCTACCGCATAACTTCTGTAGGGACTTCTCTGAATAGGTCTCGCGGTCACAGCCCTTGCCGATGTAATTGGTCTGCAGCTCGGTGGTGATCTGGATGGAGGACACAGCCCCGTCACATGTCTCCAGGTGGATGCTGGGAAACAGGGGCACACTCCCTGAGCCGGGCTGATACTCGATCCTCTTGGTCCAGTCTGCAAAAACAAAGAGAGCAGGACTGACCATTTGGTCATGAGTTTGGTTGAGAGCACGCAAACTTGTCTCCCCTCCCGCCATGCCCTGACATCCTGATGTCACAGGGAATGAGGGGTGGGGAAGGGGAATTTCACATTGGCTTCTGCAAGACTTTATCTTGGAGAAACGCCAGAGAAACCTGCACCTAATTGAGGGGAGGCATCTTGGCAAATATAAATCTGGCATAGCATGAGCACTTCCATTCACACACAATTCAGCTTCCAGTGTGTGCACATGGGCTGGACTGATAGCACAGCAGTAGGGCGTTTGCCTTGAGTGCAGCCAGCCCTGCCAAGCCGGGTTCGATTCCTCCGCCCCACTCAGAGAGCCCGGCAAGCTACTGAGAGTATATTGCCCGCATGGCGAAGCCTAACAAGCCACCCGTGACGTCTCCGATATGCCAAACACAGTAACAACAAGTCTCATGATGGAGACGTTACTGGGCCCGCTCGAGCAAATTGATGAATAACGGGAAGACAGTGAGTGACAGTGTGTGCACATCTGCCATTCCAACTTCATTCCTTTCTCCCACACACAACCATGAACCATTGTTACCCTTCCTTATCTGACACCATGAGCCAAGGCTGAACCCCCGGACTCCTCAAAGGGTGTTGTTTATTATCATCCTTAGAGGGTTTTTTGTTTGTTTTTGAGCCTCACCTAGCAGTGCTCAGGGCTTACTTCTGGCTCTGCATTCAGGGACCATTCCTGATGAACTCCAGGGATCATATCATGCTGAGTATCCAACCCATGTTGGCCGTGTGCATGGTAAGCACCCTCCCCGCTGTGCCATCTCTCAGACCCCCTTGTCCTTAGATTTCTTTGGGTAAAACTTTGCCCCGTTCTCTTTTTATTTTTATATGTCACTGATGACACATTTGAGTGCCATGACCTACGTTCCCCATTGCACCCATTATGCCCTGTGAGGTGAATTTTAGGAATGAGTTTATCTGGTCTCAAAGCATGGTTGTTCGAGGATGACATCAAGTCCTGAATTGGGGTGCAAGGGTTCTCTCCCAAACATTCAGGGCTCCAACCCCCTTAGGTAGCACTGATGGGCTTGTCACTGCATTTTAGGAGAAAAAAATCATTTGGAGACAAAAATGTGCTGGAGAGGGATAAAATCCCAATCAAAATGTCGCCACCCAGAAGCAGGCAATCAAAATCAAGCAAATGGAGACAGCAGCGATAGCAATGGACATCAGAGCTGAGGGACCCATAACAGTGACAAGGGTTACATGAGTAAAGCAGCCAGCAGGTGCAGGTCTGAGAGGGTCAAGCAACCCCAGGTCGGGCTTGGGGGACTGAGGGAGAATTTGCACGTGAAACTGGGGTATGCTTTACCTGGAACCCCCATGCGTCCAGCACACAGTGCCCTGCTGGGCGATCTGCTCTTCTTGAAGTGAGAATGTCAGTGAGAAACTCAGGCCTGTGTGCAGGAGTCAGGCTTCGGCCACTAGGCAGCTCTATCCCACGGAGCCCAAACTTCAAGGTGGAGTGGGCTGGACTTGGCCAGAACCACATGCCCTACCACAAGTAACCTTTCGTTCAAGGTTTCTGCAAACCAGGCTCTGCCCTGAGCACTCATAATGGAACATGCAGTGAAGGGGTACGGAAAGGTGACTGCCTTGTGGAGGGGAACACAGGAGCTGGATCCCCAAGTGAGTCAGGCGCTGCTCTTAAGGAGACCTGAGCACATGGAGGGCTCACTCTGTTGAGACTTCATGTCTGAGTTGAGGACTAAATCCCCAAGGTGTTTATCTTGGGTGGGGGTGGGTGGTGGAGGAGAAACATACCCAGTGGTGCAGTGGTGCTCAGGGCTTCCTCCTGGCTCTGTGCTCAGGGGTCAAGCCTGGACGGACTCAGGGGACCACAGGAAGTGCCAAGGATCAAACCTGGCTAAGCTGCATGCAAGGGAAGTGCTTTCCCCACAGTTTTTTTCTCTCTCTCTGGCTCACTAATATATTTTTAAAGGGGCACCTTGAATATTGGCCCAGAACCAGACCCATCATTTCATGATGCCTGAGTGGAGGACAGAGGTAGAGGATTGGACACTGCCGGCCTGAGCCATCTGGACCAGCATCTCACTTCCCAAAATGTGGGTCAGTGCAGGACCATGTGGTCAGCTCAGGGCCGCCACGGCCTCTGCTGTCCACTGGTGAAGATCCATCTCATCCTGTCGGGCCTAGCTTGCATGCATGGAATGGAAGGTTCTAGAGCAAAGAATGAGTGGTGGGCTCAGTCTGGAAATGGCCCTTCTGGGTTCAGCAGCTCCCACGCCTCCCTGAGCTGAACTGATGGGAAGCATATTCTTTCCCACTTATAAAGGGCGAGCGACCAGCTGATGGATTGTGGCTCATTGCTGTTTGTTTGTTTGTTTGTTTGTTTGTTTTTCCAGACACAAGGGAGCAGACGATGTGTTTGAGCTGTCAGGTTAGCACACAGATTCCTGGCAAAGCAGACCCTGGAATGCCATCAGAATTTAAACTCCTTCAGTGGATGAAGGATTTAGAAATGTGATGATTTTATTACAGCTCTGGCTGAGTTGGGAAGTGTGCGTTTTCTTATCGGAGGCTAATAGTACTCGGAGCCGTCCCAGGAGAAGCCAGAAGGAGGAAAGGGCTCATCGGGACAGTGGGTTGGCTCAGGCTCGGGGCCTCTCACCCTTCCGGACAGTTGGGCACACTGTTCCCTGCACACAGGCGTGCCAAATCTCCTTTCATGCACCGGCGTGCTCGGGGCCTCTGCGCCCTCCTGATCTCGGCTTCTGGCAGCAGAAGCAGCTTCAGGATGTCTAGGAAAGGGCTGATACAGGAGCGCTGTGGGGATGGGCAGGCGGAAGACAGCTGGGACCCCCTGAATAGGGGGTGCGTGCTCAGCAGCGGAGGTCTAATTAGTCTGCAGGTATCAACTGCCCGGCTTTCTTCAGGACTCTCAGGTTAGAGTAAGCAACCAAGCAAAGCAAGTACAGCAATGAGGTGCTTGCCTTCATCCGCGAACAGGATTTCAATCCTCAGCACCACTAGGGACTCCCAGGCCCGCCGAGCACAGAGCCAAGAGGAAGCCCCGAGCACCTCTGGGTGTGCCCCCCGCCCAAGATAATTTCTGTAAGAGCTGGTGGTTTTATGTCTAGGGCACACACCCTGGGTGCTGGGTGCTGGGGAATCCAGGATACTCCCTGTGATGCTCAGCTTGGCAGTGCAGGAGTACCCCCCCCCCCCCAGCCGTGGGACATGGATGGTGGGGGACTGAGCTCAGGGTCTTGAACTTGGGGGCATGAGCGCCACCAAGACAGCCATACCCCTGGCCTGAGATGGGGGTTTGTGGGGGTGAGCTGTGGGTTCTCTCCCTGAGGAGCCGTAACTGGGTGATTTAAAGTCATTTTAAGACAGTAGGACCCACATTGCCCAGTTGCCTGTTCTCCAGCTGGTCCCAACTCTCCAGCTGAGTAATCTTGGGTTCTTATACTTTCCTAAGACTCAGTTTCTTCCTCTGTGTAATGGGAACATTCCTAAATGCTCCCAAAGGAAGGAACTTGGGTTTCGGAGTCAGACCCAAACGTGTACCTCAACTCTGCTATATCCTGTGTGCCAATCACCCCCTGCCTGCCGGGTCTCCAACACACAAATGCTGGGATGGTAGTATGCCCCTTCATGCTACTGGCATGGTCCACATCAGATAATCAATGAAAGTGTTTCCTTGTCTCCAACACACAACAGGCAGAGACATACCTTCCAGATCTTTCTCTCCATGCCATGCACCTCTCCAACTCAACACAACTGCACCCAGGCACAGTTGAAAAAACAACCAAGACCAGATTTTCTGAACCCAATTATAAACTCAATTATGAACTTCCTCCTTCGCGACTGTTGGCCCCTTTCCGTTTGCTCAGTTTTATTTTCACAAGAGCATTTTAATACCTTTTGACTCTGATGAAAAACAAGATCTCTTCCCTGACTACCAAAGAGAAGGCTGGAGGGGAAGTGTACTTCCCATATGGGGAAGCGGACCTGACCCACGTACTGGATGTGACCCAGGTGTCTGGTCCCTTCCTTCCACCCCTCCAACTTCCCCACGTGGGCAGGCTGGCCCTTCACTGCCTTGGGACTCGGCTCCCAGGGAAGGTGTACCCACCCACAGCCAGATGCCAGTCTCTACCCAGTCGTCCACCCCACCTGAGTTTTTCCCCTCTCTGCCTAGGGCTTGCCCCTGTGCCGGAGCATTATCTGTATCTCACCGGGCAATTCCGGGCACACACCAGATACTGGGAAGTGAGAAAAGGAACTGATGCATGAGGTTCAGAGTGCACACACACTTGTGCCCATGTGGGCCACCCAGGGCTAGGAAGGGGGTCCTCTGGCACCCAGAGCAAGCAGGCCTCCTGCTGTCCATGTGGCTGGCACATTTTCAGCATGCCAAGCACCAGCTCATGCCAGTGACAGAGACTGGCATAAATACAGGATGGAGGCATGATGTGGCCACTGTGTGCACTTGTGTGTATGTGTGCATGTGTGCCTGTGTGTGCACAGATTTGTTCTGCCCGAGTTTGAGTGTAAGTGTGAATATGCACATGTGTGTGTACAGGCATACACTACCTCCAAGTTTGAGTGTGTGCATTCACTCGTGTGCTGGGCACACGTGCCAGGGGCCCTGCAGCGCTGGTGTGGGAGGTGCGGCCAGTGGGCAATTTAAGAGACGCTCATCTGAAAGCTAATTCTCAGGAGGGAATCGCTAACTCAGCCAAGTGAGGTACTTACCCCTGGATTTATAGAAACGTTCTTTTCTCATGTTCAATAAACATGAGCATTTTCTGGGCAATTTTCTCAACTTGAGACAAATGTATTATTGGGCCAAGACAGAGTAGCTATTCTTTAAGAATCTTTATTTTTATGGTCTTGAAAAGCATTTACAATTCAAGAGTCTAGCATCTCAGGCGCATATTTGTCAGCTTTTGGGGAGG